AGAGATCACCTGGGCCAACCTCATCTTTGGAAAAGCAACAAGGCACAGTGCAAGGCGGGCCCAATTTGAAGGAAGAGCGCACTGGGTTCAAATCACGGCCATCATGGCCTTCCACTTATCATCCTGGGCAGCGTAGCCTCCTCTCCAAGCCCCACTGTCCCCACTACCCACGTCTTGGCCCATGACGCCATTCTCCATCCCCCGGCTCCTTATCCCAAACCCGCCTCCCCGGCCACTGCTCCCCAGATGGATTTTCTTCCCCCGGCAGAATGTGGGCTCTTTGCGGATGAGGATTTGCAACCCCTGGGTTTCCAACAGTGCTTGGCAATAGAAGAGTCTGTTCAATGCTTTCCATATTCACTCACTCACTCATGCACTCCTTCCATCCACTGCGAACCATGGGGGATGGGCCAGATGGCCCCTAATTCTGAAGGTCTGGGCTTAGATCTGGTGGTTTCTAAGATTCCCCACAAAACCATGGAGGTGACGGCCGAATCGAGGGAGAAGGGGTCTGACTGGGGGCACAGAGCCCTGGGGGTAAAAAGACACAAAATGCAAAGGCAAACAGGCTGTTAACAGAGCAAAACCTACACCCTGGGTTCAGCACCCTCAACCCCCTAGTGATGCAGCATTCTTAAAGTACCACTGCACAGGAAGAAGGAAATCAAAAGACAAAAAAGTGAGAAAGAAGAAGGGGGACCGCAGAGCAGGCAGCCAGCCTCTCTGTGGGCCTCTGTCTGCATCCCTCCCACCCATGCCTCCCTCCTTCTCTCTTTCCCCCACGTCTGTTTCTGCTGGCCTCCGTCTCCCACTCCTCTCTCCCCTTTCCCCTCTCCACCGCTCTAGGTCTCAGCCTCTCCCCCCCTCTCCACCCCCACCATCTGTCTCTGCCTCTCCGTCTCATCTCGCCTCCTCACTCCCACAGAGACCACGGCTGGCTGCCTCAAGCAGACAGAGGGCAGAGGATTTAGGAAGAGACATTTCCTCCCTGGTGTCCTGGTTACTGGCTAATCCTCTGAAGATAAGTTTCCCATTCATTTCACTTGGGCTCGCCTGGGTCAGGAAACCATTTTTTAAATTCATTCTTCTCTTCCCCCACCCCTACCCCCCGCCCCCTGCCCCAATCCTTAAAAATTTCCCCAAAATAAATTCCCTTGCAAATCTCAGCCTTCTTCTCCAAGAAAGGGGGGGGGGGGGGTGCCTCAAACTCTGGCAGTAAGGAGACAGGGTCAGCTCCAGCACTGCACAAACTGTAACTGCAGTGGGAACATCTTGGGTTTGGAGACAGAGTACCTGGGCTCAGAGCCCACCTCTGACACTCACTAGCTAGGTAAGACCCTCAATCCCTCTCGGTACATGGTGCAATCGTTTCTGACTCAATCTCCCGGTCTCCAGCCTCCTCCTCCAGCTCCCACCCCCCGCCAAAGTGATTTTCCTAAAGCCGGGGCCTAACCATATCTCCCCCTGCTCCACACACTCCTGTGGCTCCCTATCACCTCTGGGATCAGATACAAAATCCTCCGCTGGCTCTGAAAGCCCTTCCCAACCTGTCCCCTCCGACCTTTCCAGGCTTCTTACACACAATTACTCCCCTCCCCATGCTCTAAGACCCAGACATACCAGCCTCCTGGCTGCTTCCCATACTCAATGCTCCACCTCTTGTCCCCACACCTTTGCTTTGGCTGTGCCCCACCCTTGGAGCACACCTCCCTCTTGGTTTGTCTTGTCTCCCATTTAAATCGTCTCTGTCTTCTTCGTACCTAATTGTTTTCCCGGAATCGCCCCCATTAAAACTCCCTGGGCACAGGGAGCCTTTCTGCCTTTCTTTGTAGCCCAACCACTTGGCGCAGTGCCTGGCAAACAGTAGGAGCTTAATAAATGCTTGTATTCATTTGGTATATATTCTGTACAAATGTGTCTCCAAGTTGTCTAACCCCATTAGAACAGAAGTTCGTTGAAGGGAGACTGTCTCATTTTTGTCTCAGTAGCCCCAACATTCAAGAAAGTGCCTGACACATAGTAGGTACTTAATGGCCAACATGCAGACCGCACTTTCAGGTTTACCGAGTGCTTTCGGCAGGTTCTCGTTTCTTCAAACCACGCTTGCACACAGTAGGGGCTTACTGCATGCTCATGGGACTGAAGCGCATGCTTCCCCCGGGGCTGAGGCCTAGCAGAGTCTCTCTCCCCAACACAGCCCCTCCTACCAGAGGCAGCAGTAGACAGGTGACTTGCTCGGGCCCTCCCTTCCAGCTGGGGAGCCTCATCTCAGCCTGGCTCCACCTTCGTGGGGCTCCTCCAAGCCCTGCTCAGATGCTGTTTCCTCCCCCAGCCCCTGCTGGCTCGCCCCAGGCCCCACCCCGGACACCCTGGCTTCACAGACCAGAAACCTCAGTGTACCTCTCCCGGAAGCCCTGACCCCAAGGTGAAGAGAAGAGATTTGATTTCTTTGATGTCGCTGGCACCGCCCCCATTTAACAGAAAGGAAAACCCAAGCAGCAGGGTTGCTTTGGAGTCACACCACCGACAGCCTGGTTTATTGTTTTTTAAATGCTTCCCTTTTTCATGCCAGGAAGCAGGAGTCGCCAGGGCTCCGTGCACCCGAACCCTGGTGCTGGGTGCAGAGAGGACCACAGGAGAGGGAGAGGAGGCGGGGGATCAGGGGATTTAACAGTGGAAGGGCCTTACAGGCTGTGGACGAGGGCACAGAAGAGAGGGCCACAAAGGGAGTCGGGGGCAGGGCGAGCATCGCAGGCTCCGACCCCAGACCTTTCCCAACAAGGATGGCAATGACCCAGGGCCAGCTCAGAGGCAGTGCGGCACAATGGGAAGCGTGCAGGACTTGGGTGAGAGGACCAGCCTCTGACACCTACACCCCACTCCCCTACGATCCTGAGGAAGTGGCATGGCCTCTCCAGGCCTCCATTTCCCCATCTGTAAAATGTGGGGGTTGGATCCACCGGCCTCCAAGATCACTTCTGGCTCCAGAGCAGGCCGGGACGCTTTCCTTGGCAGTGCTCGAAGGGGGACCTGTCCTGATGTCCCCAAGTGGGCTTTCTCCCAGGGAGACCCAAAGACACCGGACAACCCCACACCCCAACAACAGCAGGGACGGGGGGGCCCCCGACCCTTCTACGGAGGTGCCACACAGCAAACACACGCGTGCTGAGAGCCCACGTGCCCCAAAACAGAGCGGCAGCGGCGGCAGCAGCAGCCACCCCACTGGGGAGCAGCTCGGGGCCCCCAAGCCAATGCAGGCCCACTGCCTCCTGGCTGCCCATTTCTCTCGGTGTCACTTCCCAGGGCTTCAACACACACACACATTCATACACAGACACACACACTCACACACACACACACTCACACACACACACAGACATACTCACAGACATACATACACTCTCATAAACACACACACAGGCACAAACACACTGACATACACACTTGCAGACACACATACTCTCAGACACACAGACATTCACATACTCATACTCATACACACACACACACATTCATACACAGACACACACACTCACACACACACACACAGACATACATACACACACACAGGCACACACACTGACATACACACTTGCAGACACACATACTCTCTGACACACAGACATATTCACATACTCATACTCATACACAGACACACACAGACACACATTCATACACAGACACACACTCTCATACACACACTCACAGACACACAAACACATGCACTCACAGACACACACACTCATACACAGACACACACATGTACAGGCACATACACTCACACACAGACACACACAGACATACACATTCACAAACACACTAACACACATAGACACACACAGACACAAACACCCACACAGACACACACTCATACACAGACACATACAAACACATACACAGACACAAATAAACACATACACAGACACACTAACACACATTCACACAAACACAGACACACACAGACACACGCAGACACAGACATGCACACACATACACAGACATACACACTCGCAGACACTCACACAACACTTGCACAGACACAGGCACACACACACTCGCACAGACACAGACACACTCACATACATACGCCCTCATAAACACTAACACAAAGGCACACACACTGACATACACACTTGACACACTAACACATTTACACAGACACACACACTCTCACTCATACATACTCTCATATACACACTCAGACACAAACACATACTCACAGACACACACACTCATACCCACACATTCACACACTCATACACAGACACACACAGGCACACAGACACATACACTCACATACAGACACACACTCACAGACCCACACATACTCACAGACACACAAACACACAGACATACACACTTACAGACACAAACACACATAGACACACAGACACACATACTCTCAGACACACACACACACTCACACAGATATACAGACACACTCATACACATTCACACACACTCATACAGATACACAGACACACACACACAGGCACACACTCATACAGACACACACAGACACACTAACACACATTCACAAACACAGACACACATACTCACACATCGACACACACTCACACAGATACATACACACTCATACAGATACACACAGACACACTAACACACATTCACACGCAAACACAGACACATACACACACTCTCATACACACACTCACACACACACACTCACACACACACACAGACACAAACACATACACATACACTCACAGACACACTCTCACACACACAGACTACACACATACATACATATACACACAGACACACAGACACACACACACTCCTTCTTACAAGCTAACAACGCTCCTTCCCAAGGCTTATCACCACCCACGTCCAGATCTGGAGCAGGTCTGTACTTGGCTTCCCCTACCCACCCCACTCAAAGGACAGGCAAGATGGCCCGGCCTGGAGGGACGCCGCGAGGCCCGCTCTCCCTCAGCCACACCCCACCCCCACCCCCAAGGCCCCAGACTCCATCTTACCAGTTCCACTTGGGGGCCTAGGCCTTCCAGGATCCTGTGGGCAGCTTCTGCTTTCTTCTGTGGAAGGGGAGGAGGAGAAAGAAAGATAAATAAACAAGTCTGGGACAAGACTGTCCCTTGTGGCTGGGCTGGTCCCCACCCATCCTGTCAGCCCAGAGGCCCCATGCTCCCTTGCTCACTTACCTGTAATGGTCAGCTCAGCGGCCTCAGTCCCCTAACTCAGAGCCCAACACCCGGTCCCCGAGTCCACCTCCCTCTATGGCACCCCTTGTGCCCCCTGAGTTCCTCAGTCACCCCAATCCCTTTGGAGAAGTCACCTGGCCCATCCGTCTGTCCTTATCCTCTTCCCACGGGCACACAGACAGACTGTCCTCCCTGGGAAAGAAGCCGTGGTCCCTGGGCCAGCCTTTCCCCCCGCCCCTGGCGGCAGCCCCAGCCCCAGCTCCGCTCCCCAGGGGGCAGCTCACCCAGCTAATACCTAGCAGCCCAGCCTGCCCCCGCTCATTCCTCTTTCCCTTTTGAAGTTGGTCAGACTTTCTACAATGACCTCAGTGCTATCTGAGGGAGGGAGGGAAAGGGGGAGGGGAGAAGAGGGGAGAAGGAGAGAGAGGACAGACAGACGCTCTTTCTAGAACTCCTCCGCTCAGTCATCATGTGATTCTCTCCAAGCTGCCCTTGAGTCCTCCCCCACCCCCCAGCCCCCCAGCCCCCCAGCCCCCAGCTTATGAGAAAACAGGAACATGGGTGATAACATGGCCCACCACGTGGCAGGCAGGCTGTCCCTCTGAGCTGGAGGCAGCCGGCGGGCTCCAAATAAAGGACCCCACTGTGCCAGCAGCGATGCCCCTGCCAGGGGGCCGGGACTGGGAGGGCCTGAGCGACACAGACGGCTGGGATTGCAAAAGGCCCATGGGGAGAAGAGGGGAAGGAAGGAGGGAAGGGGAGGGGGTCCTTCTGGACACCTGGCGTTCAGAGCCCAGAGAGTCCAGCCCGGTACTAAGAGGTGCCCACAGACAGACTACAAATGACTGTACTTCAAAAGAAAGGCAGGGTAAGAGACATCAGCAGTCTCCCTCCCTCCAGACAGGGCCAGGACATCCCCAAATCAGCCAGGAGGGAGCCCAGGCTTCCCAGACACTTCTCCCACACACTTGGACCCTAGCGACCCTTGAATATGGGACGTGCGGGTAAAAGTGACCACAGCACTCAATGCCTCCGATTCATTCATTCATTCATTCATTCCACAAGGCCTGATTATGAATCTAATGAGTGCCAGGCACTAGGCTCATGCAAGCTAAAACAGAACTGTCTCAGCTCTCAAAGGGTTTACATCATACTGGGGAAAAACAAGTAAGCCTATGGTTACATACAAAGTAACGGGGGCGGGGGAACCAAGGTTAAAGGTCTAGAGTTGGGCGGCTGGGGGACTGACCAGGATTAGGCAAGGATGCAGTCCTATCAGACAGGCCTGAGGGCTGGGGGCAGAGGATGGGCTGAAGGGGCTGGTCAGGCTGTGAACGGGCCCAGAGGTCACTGAGGTCTTAAGGAGCTGAGGGCAGGGGCTGAGGAGACCAAAGTAAGTAAATAAAAATAAATAAATGAGAGAATGAATAAATAAACAGTGGCTAACTTTTATGTTGGGCTTTATAGCTTGCAACGCACTTTACGTATACGATTTCCTGTGGTCCTCACGACAACATTGTGAGGTGCATGCAATTATCCCCATTTTACAGATGAAGAAACTCAGAGAGCTGAATGACTTCCCCAAAAGTGTCTCAGGCAGGATTTGAACTCAGTTCTTGGACCCAAGATCGGTGATCCTGTTTCAGGGCGGGGGATGAACCTGTGAGCAGGACTGAAAAGCAGCTCACTGGGAGAAAAGGGGTCAAAGAAGGAATTGGTCCTTGTGGCTGAGGCTAGGGACCAGGACTGGGGGAGGGGGAGTGGCAGGCGAATGTCCTTCTGAGACCAAGGTCAAGGTCGGTCTATGGCCAGGTTATAGAAGAGGATGGAGACAGGAAGGCCAGCCGTGGGCCGGACAGGGGCTCTGTTAGCCACAAAGACTAGGAGGAAGAAGGTCAAGAGGGTGTTGGAAGCGTGGTGACCATCTTCAGTCTGTGGCCGAGGTCAAGCAGGACATACAGGCTCAGGGAGAGGCCCTGCCTCTGCCTAGGCAAAACAAGGGAACCAGTCTGCAGCCAGCAGGAGGATCAGAGCCTGAGGTCAGGGCTGGGGGGCCAAGCTGTGACCACAGCAGAGGATGATTCCCAGGTGACGCTACCCTAAGAGGACCCTGCCCCTGACACTGGCTACCTGGGCGACTTTGGGAAAGTCACCAAAACTCTCTAGCCTCGGTTTCCTTTTCTATAAAAAATAGAAGGCGCAGGCATGATCCAGTAGAAAGAGCAGTGACTGATTAAGAATCAAAGGACGTGGCATCAAATCCTGTCTGCTTCTCACTGTCACCTCTGTGGGCCTCAGTTTCCCTTTCTGTAAAAGGAGGGGGTTAGACTAGATGACCTCTCAGGCCCCTTCCAGCTCCAGATGTATGATGCGAGGATTAGATGGGATGGGGTAGGGGCCACACTTAACCTCTTCTGTGTCCTGGACCATTCCCCCTCCCCCCTCCCCCTCCACCGCAGTCAATCTGACGAAGGCAATGGCCCTTTGTCAGAATGGTTTTTTAATGAATAAAATGAAATGTGTGGGAGTACAAAAGAAACAAATTCTATTGAAATAGTAAACAAAATATTATAAAACACCCCCCCCCCCACACACACACACGTGAGCGTTCCTAGACCCCAGGAAGGAGGCCCCGGCCTAGACAGTCACCAAGGTCCCCTCAAGCCTTCCACAGATGACCGGCCCTGGCACCTTGCTGGCCATCATCTCCACAACCAGGGAAGGAAGATGGGGCTGCTGTGGGAGGCCCACTTGTGCTGAGCACCCACCCCAGGAGCTCCTCCAGGGACCACAGGTCTCAGTTCACGGAACTGTCCTCAAGCCCACGGACCCCATGCAGAGGGAAGGAAAGGAAGGAGGGAGCAGGAATCACAACTTCAGCAGCCAGGCGGAGGTCGGAAGTGAACCACGCTCTAGATGAGGTGCCAGGAGGCAGTGTGCTTAGCTCAGGGTCACCCAGCAGCACCAGGCCAGAGCAAAGCTCCGGTGCATTCACTAACAGGTTACGACGCAAGCCTTGGAGTGACCCTGGGCAGTCCTTTCACCTCCCCGGCCTCAGTTTCCTCATCAATTCCTCAACTGAGGGGGTTGGACTTATGACCTCCGGGGTCCCTTCGAGCTCTAAATTGAAGATCATGTGATGTCCCTTTCACCTCTCTGGGTAACTGTGAAATTAGAAGGCTAAAATATAAGTGACTCCCAACGTGTGAGCCTCTGACTGTGGGCTTCCGGACCTGAGGAGTTAGTGCCAAGGTCCTTGGGAGCCACGTACACTCCAATCCCTTTCTCACCACCATGATGTCCGTGGCACCGCCCTCCCTCCCTACGCTCTGGCTCTCAGCCTCAGCCATCCTCCTCTTCCCTCTCCCTCACCTCCCAGGTCCAGCCTGCTGCCAGATCCTGCCCACGCCACCTCCCTCGTGTCTCCTACACACGCCCCCCTCCCTCCAGTCACACGGTCACCCAGGATAGCTCAGATACCATCACCTCCAAGCCTCTCCATTCCTCCATCTTCCACAGTAGCTGTGAAGAAGGGAGAGGCCCCGAGAGCACAGACCACGGCACTCCCCCGGCCCCCGGCAGTTCACTACCTCTGAGATGTGACCTCCTCTACTGGGTATTTAAAACTCTTCACGGGCTGACTCCAAGTGAACATTCCAGCTGGCTTGCCAGTGCTACCCACAGCCAAACTGGCAGACCTGCTATACCCCACACATCTGCCTCAGTTTACACAGGTGGCCCTGTTTCTGGAATGAGCCTCCTCCTCACCTCCGCCACTCCCTGTCCTGAAGACTTAAGTCTAAAGAGGCCTTTTCCAAGTCCCCTATTTGGTGGTGTGGTCAACTCCCCCCCACCCCAAAACTAATCCACGGGTGTGTCCGTCTCCCCAAGCCCCGAAAATGTCAGCTCCTCCAGGGCAGAGGCTATTGTCTTGTTGTCTTTATGCCCCTGGTGCCTGGAGTGACGTCAGGCAAAGAAGCTAATGAGATCCTCGGCTGCTGAGAAGAGCACAGAGCTTCCAAGAGCAAGATGGGACTGCCCTAGAGAACCCTGTCCATGTGTGTCAATGAGGGGACTCCTAGATGCTGTAGCATGGATAGATGGATGAAGATAGATGGATGGATGGATGGATGGATGGATGGATGGATGGATGGATGGAAGGATGGATGGATGATGGATGGATGGAAGGATGGATGGATGGATGGAAGGATGGATGGATGGATGGATGGATGGATGGAAGGAAGGATGGAAGGATGGTTGGATGGATGGATGGATAGATGGATGGATGGACAAAGACAGATGGATGGATGGACAGACCGATGAAGATGGATGGATGGATGGATGGCTGAAGATGGAAGGATGGATGGACGAAGATGGATGGATGGATAGATAGACAGATGAAGATGGATGGATAGGTGGATGGATGGATGGACAGACGGATGAACATGGATGGATTGGATGGAAGGATTGGATGGACAGATGGATGAAGACAGATGGATGGATGGCTGAAGATGGATGGAAGGATGGATGGATGAAGATGGATGGATGGAGAGAGACAAATAGACAGATATGGACAGATGGACAGGTAAGAGATGGATAGAGATAGACGGATATTTTATCTAGTTGTTTACAAGATGTCTCTCACATTAGACTGTCAGCTCCATGAGGACAGGGACTGTCTTTTTGCCCTTTCTGTTTCCCCAGTGCTTGGCAGTGTTTGGAGCATGGCTGGTGTTTAATAAATGCTTGCTGACAGTCAGCTGTTGACTTGACCAGCATCACACACTACCTCATGCGGGTCAAGCATCCCTGATTCCTTTACCACAAGCAGGCCTCTGCACAGAGTCCGTAAGAGAGGACATGGTGATGGTCCT